GCCAAAATGAATTGTGAAGCCTGGGGCAATATTCACCTTTCCACTTTTATCCACTCCCTGCCGCTTCAAACACATTCACTGAGTGTGTGTGAACTCTTCATTGCAAACGAACACTACGCTAATAAACAATGGGACATACATCATCCGGTGTGACCGTCCCCCCAACCAGGCAAGGGGCACGGGACAAATTGCCCATTTTGGGCCATGAGAACTCAAATAAATCTGCCATGACATGAAACGCAAACAGAAAACTATTGCATGGAAGCGATGGCGCGAACCGCCACATCTGACCTAACGAAAAAAAATAAATACAGAAAATATACTTCGAAAAAGAATGTATCCAAATGAAGAACTTGCAGTCCATCAGTCAAAACGTGACGCGCATTCAGTTCGTCGCACCCTTTGCTTGACACAGGTAAGTATGAAGCCTATGGCTCGGACTGATATATCGTATAGCTCGATGCACCTGGCGCTTTGAGCGGTGGATGGCCAAGAATAGCATAGCCCCATTGACCTGGCGCTTTGAGCGGTGGATGGTCCGGCCTATGTCTAAAGTGACATAGTCTCCAAGGCCTCGCGCGTTGGAAGTGATAGCCACTTTCACAACCACCACCACCGCCTTAACTTTTGACCTCTTCGAATTAAAGTGATAGACTAGTGGCCGCAGGCCGCTAGTCTATTACTTTAAAACTATTATTATTACTTTAGTCTATTACTTTAAAAAACTGCCCCTATAGGTTTTAATGAAAATTTTATTTCTTCTAAAATGTTGACTCAAGGAACTCCATGCCACCCAGCTTCAGCCTTATATGTTTCCTCTTTTTGCTGGCAAAATAAAATGTACTAGCGGCCTGCGGCCGCTACGCTGGCCGTCTAATAGGTGGACATTCACATCGTCTATTGTGAGCATAACGTGTTCTTGACAAACATCTTTTCCTCGCATTATCCATTCGGAACTGACCCGCTTCATTACATTTTCTGGGAGATTCTGTTCCTAAACCCCATCATCATGATATTCCGCCTGATTGGCACGATCGCCATTGTGAACGCCTCGGTTTAGCACGTTTGTATAAGACTCAAGACGACTTTACTGATTTCGTCTTCCTAGCGCATTCAATACTCTCGCATCACCGATTAGCTCATGTGCTATCAGCGTTAGCATATATTGCAGACACCAATGATTCTGAAAGTACGGACCATTTCCAAGAACTTGTTCGAAGGCACAGAGGGAATTTAGTGCATGCGCGGCACAATGCTAGCGACTAATTCCAGAAAATGCCTCGCCACCACATTACTCTGCAAGTGTTGCTCACTGGTGCTAAAGTGTGAGTTGGAGCAGGAGCATTTTTCCATTGCGAAACAAATGCCTCCTTCCTACATCAAAATGTACAGCCTGACATTGCTTTCTCCGACAAACAACTGTAATGATTGAGATGACATGGAGAGGCTTGACAAAATGCCCAGAGTTCCGTTGTGTAATGGTAGCACACCTGACCGGCAAGCAGGAGGACCTGTTCAATTCCCGGCCACCCCGCGGCTTTGGACACCTGAGTGCTGCGTTCCTTGCATCAAATTACTCAGCAGGCTGCACGGCTTTCTTACTCCGGAGCTCAGCATTCGGTGCCTCATGATGTTCAGCGGCTCTACGCTCATCTGCTTCCTGTTCTTCACTGATTTTAGCCATTACGGTTAACAACGATTTAGGCACTTCGCACCGCAACTGCAGTGACAAACGTTACTTCCGCGCCAGCACCAATCGTTTATCTGCAGTGACTGCCTCATCGCCGTCCTGTAGGACCTCATGTAACCTTTTTTTTTCAAGTTCACCCTTACCTCGCAAAAATCGTCACCATTTTGATGGGAGGAGTGGCCCGTTTGCGCGACGTATGAAACAACGTTATTATTTTGATTTCATCAATCATGATAACTCAAATATATCGACCATGACATGAAACGCAAACAGAAAACTACTGCATGGAAGCGTTGTCCCCGAACCGCCACGTCTGACCTAACGGAAAACAAGTACAATAAAGAACACCTCAGCAAAGAATGTATTCAAATGAAGAACTTTCAGTCGATCAGTGAAAACGTGACACTCATTCAGTTATTACCACTCTTTGACAAAGCTAAGTATGAAGCCTATGGCTCAGACTGATATAGCTGGATAGACCTGGAGCTAAAAGCGTTGGATGGCCAAGCCTATGGCCTATAATAGCATAGCCTCAAGGACCTAGCGCTTTGAGGGGTGGATGGCGTTGCCCATGGCCTGAAGTGACATAGTGTTGTAGGCCTTGTGCGCTGGGGTAATAACCACCACCACCACAACTCTCGGGCTCTTCAAATGAAAGTATACAAAATGGCCTGGAAAGGTGTAGCCTTGTAGGCCTGGCCCTTTAGGCAGTGGATGGCCTAGCCTATGGTCCAGAATGGCATTGCATCGTAGGCCCGCGCGTTGGGGATTCCACCACCACCACCGCAGCTTTTGACCTCTTCGAATTAAAGCAATAGGTAGATAGATGTGTGGGAGACGAAAGCTCGAAGGAAAACTATTGATAGTTGCAGGTAGGGTATACCAGCTGCAATCTGGAGGAAACTAAATGATTTCTTGTTCTGGAAAGAGCCACCATGATCTTCAGAGACTACCATTTAGTTTTTCATCATTATATATCATTTAGGTTTTCATCATTATATATCATTTAGTATTTAATATCATTAGGTATTTAATGAATTTTTTAATTTAAGGCATGCCAACGTTCCATGACTAGCATTGGGAACGGAAGCATAGGGACACTTGCAATCGGTCAGTATATTAAACAAGGGAAGTAAATTAAACGTTTCGGAAGTGTAACGCCAACTTCCTCGGAGTAACAAAACTTGTAAAAAAAAAAGGGGGGGAAAACGAAAAAAATGGTCAAAATATGAAGTTAAAAAGCGTTAAAATCTATTTCACCACAAAGGGGGAGAATAAGTATCAGCAAGAAGCGATGGCACGTGAGATAAAAATTATAAAGGTGGTAATTAAAATTCAATTAACATTAGAAAAGACAAGGGATTACGTAAAAGAGTAGGACGCAAACTGGGGTCGTCTCACAACAGAGGCAAAAGGAAAAATGAGTCGAAAAGAAATGGCGAGGGGCAAGGACTGGGAAAGGGAGGAGAGCTAAATGGGAATTCAGGACTGGTTTTAGCATTCTCAACTAGAAAGTTTCGCGTAGCGATAGCCTTCTATATGACGGTTCGGTTAGCCTTCCTTTTTCAATTGGGAGGACGGATTAATCTGTATGTCGGTGTCCTGGATTATTAAATGAATACCTGTCAGGACCTTGTAAAATGAGCTTTGCATAAAGAGCATGTTTTTTGGCATGGTAAAAAAATGATTAACTGTTTCCCGTGCATATTGTGCTTTGGAAACTCTGCAAGTAATGAAATAGATCACGTTAGGGGTGGAGTAGGTCATGTGAGAGAGGATTTTAAACATTTTGCCGCCCAGGGACTGGGAAAAATTGTCTTCCTCTTCAAAATAAGGGTGGATAGAGCAAGTCTCGTTGGAGGATGCAAAAAAAAGCAGGGATTTGGTTCAGTGACAGGGGCTATTCTTGACCAATGGTTCTTAACCTTTTTACTGTCACTATTGGGTATTAACTGTTTAAATGTCCGAAATATACAACCATCAAAAACGGTTTGAATTTTCGGTTCCCTTAACGACTTGTATTCATCTATTACATAAATTGCACATTTAAAAAAGGGAGTTCTATGAACCTTCCTTTCCAGGATTCATTAAATGAGCACTTAACGTCATGAACGCGCTCTTTTCTACAATTGAATTAATTTCAGTTCAAGTAGTGCCATTCTCAAATGGCAGGGATCAGAGGTCATCATGAAGTCAATTACTCTTGTTAGAGGTACATCTCCCATTTTCTGGGATAGTATTGTGAAGAAGTGTGTAACAATAGAGTCACCAAATGGAATTTTCCATCGCATCACCAGTTCACTCCCATTCCGAAGTAAGACATACCCTCCAATAATAATATTTGCACAGGAGCTATGATGTGCACTTATATTTAATCCGCTTAAATTCCCTTCCGATTAGCTGACCTTCGAAACTGAAGCATCCTCCCCCTAATCTTTCGAACGAGTTTCCTGGAGACTCATTGGACTGAGTTACTTATAAAGAACATTTTGTTTCGCAGAAACGATGGACATTTTTTTGGACGTTGGTGGCGACGAAGCGACGTATTTCATCATGGACTTATTGAATATCTGATATCACGGCAGCAGGCGAGGGGGACTGCGGAGAGCAATGCCAACGTTCCCTTTCGAGTGTCATGGAAACTCTCGTGTCCTCGTCCTTCCGTAAGATGGTGAGTCTAAAGCGAATCTGCGATCTTCCGTGAATGTTGCCTCCCCTCTCTTTCGTGGGGTCAACTTGTAAATTTCATTTCACAAAGGCACATCCTCGAATGACAAAGAAGAGTTCTGCTGAAACCCCAAGTTCGTATCTCGAAGTCTTTTGCCTGTTGAGCTGTCCACACACATACACCAGCACAAAAACTTTTGTCACGCAGCCTAGCAAGCGTGCTCAGGAGCGCGCACGTTGTATGTTTGACCTCAGGACCTCTGGTGCTTCGGAACCGCGGTCCTCCGGCTTGACTAATGGAAAGAGAAAAAAAGGAATATCAAGAACGAGTTAAGTATTCCGACATTTACTTTTATCTTGATACTTCATTTCTGCAGAAACGTTCTCATTTCCAATTTAGGAGGAAACATGAGGAATGACATCGCAGAGGAAAACCGGTCCAATCTGAAAATGCCTGCACAATGTCCTTATCATCAATGTTTGAATAACATAGATAAGATCGGATAGTGGAGGAATGTGGGATTTGGACTTTAAGCACTCAATCCAACGGGATTCCCAGTGCTTTATGTTGCATTGGTCCGTGCTGAAGTGTTTTTTTTTCAGAGGGGGGAGCTGTTGTTAAAATGATTTGGAATTCCTGAAAATGATGGTAGGTAAATGTGAATTGTATTTAGCTGATGTGAGAAAAATATACAGGGTGTAAATAATAAAAAAGTATGGAGGATAGCTTACATTTTTGCGGATTTTGGTTTGTTTATATTTTTCATTTTATGCGTTATTGGTATGTTGATAATGACAATGGCACAGTATGCGTAAACCCTAAATGTGAACACGACGCTTGATGTACCCATCATTAGTCAAGCTGACGAGATGGAAGGACAAAGTGGCTGAAATCGTTCAGATTGTCTCTTGCTGTATAGTGGTGAACTGGTTTCTACTTTGCTTATACCGTATCTATGGTTTTTAGCTTTTAGGACTGTACATGATTTTCAGACAATAGTGTAATATATATATAGACGATCGTGACTGACTGACTTACTGACGCTAATTCTAACCATGTTCCAGAAAGGTTAGAAATCTGAAACTTGGTGCACGTACTTTTTGGGTTCCAGAGTTTAGAAAAAATCCGACTTTGCAGGTCGTGGGAATTAAAAGTGTATTCCAATCATAATTAACAGACTGCATCAGTTACTGTACAATCGGCCACATTTCAGTTTCATCTTGTGGGACATACTGAATATTAAAACACCATTCGCAAAAAAGATTTTTGGTAATGTGGTATGGAATACTGGTATATGATGGTATATCCTTGGCCTTAGTCACCTTTGTTTACCTGATTTATTATCTAATCTGAACGATAGCGGTAATTAAACAATTGGTTAGTCACCTTAGCAACATACGTCCTTTATGAACGTGCGAAAGCAATGGAGTATGCGAATATGCGCAGGCGCATCTCTCCACAGGTGGTCTAGAAATCAACATCTGCTGTTTTCTTTCCTTTCTAAATTCAAATTATATCAGGAAAAGTCCGTCATTTCATCTTCATATTAATGAACTGGTATCGCCATTCACAAAAAATATAAATGGACAAGTTATTGCGCTTTGGTGGGTATCCAGGAGTGAAACTATTGTGACTGTGATCCTTCTCCAAAGAAACTAACGTACTGCAAAATGGATTATTATTCATTGCTCGGAGTGTCCAGAAATGCCACAGAAGCGGATATCACTCGCGCTTTCAAGAAAATGGCTCTCAAGGTCAGTGTTAATAATAATAAACTAATATATTATGTTGACATTATTTCCTTATTTCGAGGAATGCATTATTCCTTTACTGTGATCTTCAGTACCACCCAGACAAAAATATGGGAGACAGAAAATGCGAAGAGTTGTTCAAGATATTGCAGAGAGGAAAAGAGATTCTTCTGAATGCAAATGAAAGATCCAATTACGACTTACATCCCAGTGACAATAATGGAAGCGACTTAAACACAACTCCTCCAGACCCAACTGGTATGATGAGATTGAACGCTGGCCATCGCCTATCAGAAGATTTTAGGGAAAAAATGAAGCAATGGTATGCTGAATATGAGCAAATTGCCCTCATCGCTAATTATGGCGACATCAAGGAAAGTGTTGATGAATGGGCAAATGAATTTATACAAAACGTTGGAGTTAACTTACCAAGAGACAAGAAACCACCATTCAATGAAGAAGCATACCAAGAGAAATGCTCTGAACATGTGGATCTATTGGAAGCAATGCATGGCATTATGTCAGATGACGTGTGGACACTCAATGGTATTGGACCAGGTGGACTTACTACTATGGAATGGTTGAGATTCCGCATGAGCTCTTACTCCAATTTTGGCTGTCGCTTCTTTGACATTGGTAGATTCCAAAGTGCTCTTTATTGTTTCCAAAGAAGCACATCGGTAGCTGGTGCAACAATTCTGGCTTCGAAAGCAGAAGAACTGCTAAAATCAAAGCAGACGGAATTGGCCTTGTATTATTACAGAGTACTCTTGGACAAACCCAATCATCAAGAAGAAGCTGTGATGAATATCCTAAAAATTACAGTTGATCAATATATCGGGATTTGGCATGGAAATGACAAAGTGAGAAACGCAATTTTCTCAGCGGTGGCAAGTTTTGGAAGTAATGTTGAATTGCACAAATTGGCGCTGGACGTACTATTGGAGAATGGACACCTGGAAGCAGCCAAAGGTTGTGTCGATGTCATTCTGAAATTGGACCCAAAATATGAGTCAGTAAGGGCAAAAAAGGCAAAGATTGAAGATTTGCTGAGAGTGAAGGACATGAAAGTACTGGAAGGGTTTCTGTACAATTTTTGTGATGATCAGAAAAGGGAAGAAGGTAATTATCTGGTCGAGATGGCAGAGCACCTTAAACAAACTCAATGTTTCTCATCAGCAGGAGATTTATACAAGAAAATATCAAATGAAAGAGATATTGATCAACTCAGAACAGTCCTAAAGGTGGGCCTGCTTATTCTCAAGGGTTTCTTTGTGACCGAAGAAGGAAAGTATGAGGAATCCTTAGACTGCTATCAAGAAGCAGTAATCACATTGCCACTGCCAGAGGTCTTTACGGCAATTACCATGCTAATCAAGAACAGTCACTCACAAGCAGCATGCCATTCTTTGGTAAAACAGTTGACAAGCAGAGATCAAAGCTACCCAGCATCTCATGTCTATATTGATAGATTGAAAGGAAGCCAGAATCTTGTTGCGGTCATCAAATATGAGAGAAGCATTGAAAGGAACGGAAGTCTGAGCAACGTTGAGAAAGCAATGCTCTATATTGATCTGAGTATGGCAGCCATTGACAGTTCGATGCTTGGGACAACATTTGCAATAGCTGCAAATTATATGCTAAAGGAAATGAATGACCATTCAAAGAAGATCGATTTGGCTTATCTGTATTCGATTAGGAATGTCATCAATGAGTTATGTATCTGTGCTGTGGTAGTTGCAAATAAGTTTGAGCAGCCCATCACAGAGCTGCACCTGCTGAAACAGTTGTTCATAATCTTCCATCGAGCAAATGAATTGCTATCAAAGTGTGCTCGCATTAAGAGCTCCGAAAATCGTTCACAGTCAAGAGAACCAACAAATGTTGTTCGAGTCTTACACAAAGAATTCAACTTGATGATGTGCAAGAGCTTTGAGAGGCTAGTCAAAGTAACACCATTCGTCAATTTGCCAATCAGTTTGTCTGCTGACATGATTTACTTGGATTTGGTGGCTTGTGAGTTTCTGGAAACATTCTACAAATCCAGGATTGCCCATCCATCGCCAGATTACTCTGCTCGGATTTATTTATACCAATATCAGCTGCTAGAGGCCAACTGGAAAACTGGAGCACGCGATGAAAAGTCTTTTCAGAAGAACAGAGTTAATACAATGAAGGTTCTGATGAAAGAGAAAGAGCAATGGTCAATCACCCAAGTTGAAGATTCAATGAACTGGCCAGTTATTCATCGATCATCTGAGGGCTGGTTCGACATGGAAAAAAATAGAAATCTAAATTTACCTGGAAATAACTTTGACTCCGTGGAAGGAGTACAAATCGATATGGAAAATGGAACCTTCTCACTGATACTATCCCGCAGCCCCCGTGGTTGCACTGGTTTGTTCAATGACGATGATATCTTGGAAGTCCTTCAGAATGGCATAAGTTCAACAAGTTTCACACTCGAGGAAGTTGATGGTGACCTTCAATTTAATCCATTTCAGGTACTTTTTCATTAATCGAGTGAATCGTTCATGTCGAAATCATTTACGTGCGGGAGTAGTTGATAGATTCAAATTTTTCTTCCAGGAGATGAAATATAAACCAGTAAAGACACTCAGACAGACCAACTTTGTCAAAACAATGCTCCATGCAGACTATTTGTTAAAGATGCTGTCAATGGGTTGCGAAGTATCATCGAAGGCTCCATTCAAAATGCGTGACGCAACTGGTCCAAGTGGATTCGTGACTTCATTACCTGACGAAATTCAAGAATTGGTGAAAGCTATCAGTACGCGCAAGGATGGTCAAACCGTTGGATGCGCTCACAGATTTTGGATTGAAGCAGGGAAGCTCCTTTATCAAGTGTTGGCCGATGACGAAAATAAACTAATGACTTACATGTTTGGGTATTGCCCCATGAAAGTCAGGACTCATATCTTGAAACGGAACGCACATGGAGAGCTGGTCGATGATTGCGACAATGACGATGATATCGATGCCGACATGACACCGGAGAAAGAGTTTGCGGCTGATTTCTCCCATTTTTATGACGAAATAGGAAATCATTTCCCTGTTTTGCTGAGATTGCGGGAGCTGCACAAACTGGGTGCTGTCTATATGATCCTGAAAAATGTTGCTGACAATATGGAAGAGTCCAAAAAGTCCGTAGTCATTGATACTGAGCCGATCAAAAGTTTATTGAGAGAAATGAAATCGCAGATTGAATACCCTATGAACACAACCAGACAGCGGAATAGGTTGTTTTACGAGACTCTTCGGGAAAATGGCGTCTCTGAAAGCGAAGTGGATCAAAAGGAACTGAATAGAGTCAAGTCCAATATAGAAAAACAGTTAGCAGAGGTCGATAGGAAAATCGTCTCTAATATTGCTGAAGGTCTTGAAAAGAACCTCAAAATGCGACAAAACTCATTGAGAAACCTTGTTGAAACATGGTTGAATTACAATGCAAATGAAGCACTAGTCTCCAACATTGCCAACCATTTGAAAGACAGAAGAATCGCAGATTTGAGTCAATTTTCCATTTTCGCTTCGAAGTTGGGAATCTTCTTCAAAGACAGCGAAGATATCTGTGAGGAAGACCATTCTGAATGTGTGTGGGTTCCATCTGCATTTCATAAACGATGTCCGTGTCGCGTATACGGAGGTGTTCTTTTGGTACTGCGGCTGAAAGAGTATGTAGGTGGTAATGGAGGTGGTAATGGAGATGGTAATACAGGTGGTAATGGAGGTGATAATGGAGGTGGTAATGGAGGTGGTAATGGAGGTGGTAGTGGTGGTTGTAGTGGTGGAGGAGGAAAGCATGACAATACGTTGCACAGAAACAATAAGAATTTTACTAGTCCTAACATGGTCCTCTACACCATCAACATTTTCTGTCGAGGTAAGTAACATTTGCTCTATTTTTATAATTGTGAAAACCACCATGACATATAATTATTATGTACACTTCCGTAGAGACCGGTGCGTTCGTGGACACCTACAAAATAGGAATCTCGGCAGATCATCGCAAGACCAAGGGCATACCACGTCGGCTTTACATTCAAATAAAGGCCTTAAACGAAGGTCGAGTTCAAGGTCTAGAGTACGATCACACAAAATACGAATTCCGAGGTCGACACCATATATTCGAAGACGTTATGGATCGAGGAACGTTGGAAGAAAGAGAAACTAAAAAAATATGGGATTACCTCACGAAGAGGGGTAGAAGCATTTTAGGCAACAAGTGTTTCGCAGCGAAAGGAGCAAGAAAGGAAATGGCGTCACAAAACCCCTAAAATCCGGATATTCAAGGAACCGAAATCAAGAATGTAACATCACAGCAAATGACAAAAACATCGAAGGGGATGAACCCCGAATTTAACAGAAGGTAGTAAAAGACCGAACACTTAGAACAAACACTCCTATGCTGGGACTGCTCCTCATGGCCATTTCCCTCCTCTGAATGTTAGTCTACATCCAATGTATGGAAATGTTCTATTGATTATAAACAGTATGTAGATAAATCTAAGAAGTTTGTCTTGTGAAAAGGTTCAACAACGACGATGACTATGATTAAGGTCTTTTTCAAAACCCATGAACGGTAAGGAATTCATCCCTGACATCATTAGCTCGAAACGTAAAGGCACAGATATGATCCTTGAATGTAAGTTTTTCACCATCATATGACATAATGAACAAATTGAATGGAATAGATTCAAAATTGAACAAGGGTTCCAAAAAAAAATATATATATATTTTTGTTTTCCTAGCATCTATTTCAGGGGTGCACAAAGTGCGGCCCTCCAAGGGCTTTCGTGCGGCACGTGAAGAGTTTTGGGGAAAAAATACATTTTTTATGATGATGTAAATGAATAAATGATTTTATGTACTGCGGGATGAGCGAATCATGGACTTATTTGGTGTTAATTCTCTCCCCGGTAAGTACACTTTATTATCAGCCAAAAATCTCGGATATGGAACCATCCTGACACTCTTATCGAAGGTAAGCATGAGGCGCTTTACTGGATTTGACATCCAGGCGCCACCTGTGAGGGTAAGAGATTCCGTAGGACGGCCAGATTCTGCTGAAAATGTCCGTTGCATGCATCATTCCAAAGAGCTTTTTTGCATTCTTTCACGCACAAATTTCTCTGATAAATGCATGCTGTCAGATTCCTCCAAATGGCAGCCACGACATCGCAAATATACCGCAGTAGGAGATTCACATCAAGATAATGTATAACATTTCAGACCACCATCTGACATCCCTATCTATTTCTACAATCCCATCTGGAAGGGGCGAAGAGAGAGTAGGAGCCAAACCCTGGACTTTGCTATACCAACCTCGTCCGTAGGGCTTGCATGTCGTCCGTCTCTCGAAGGACAAACAAGCAGGGACGATGTTGTTGAAATCGGTTCATTCCACGAGGACTGGGATCGTCAGTCGAGCCGTGGCTCCATACCAACGGACAATGTGGATTTGCGAGTTACAGTTTGGTTTCTATTTTTCCGTGCAAAGTCAGCAGAGCGCAGAAAACCTCGTAATGATGAAGAAAATCGCATATTTCAAGACAAGTGGACTCACGAATACTTTGGGTGACATGCACCAATGGAGGAATCGGAATAGTATAAAGAGAGGATGAATAAGTTTACTAAAACATGTTTAAGGAAGTGTTTCTTTGCCATGCCCCATTGAAAATCATTTTAGTTTCGTGAACACTTTATCCACGACTTAAACACGTTTAAAGGCGGTTTGGGAGCCCTTGCAAGGAGAATGTGTAGCGTGCAAGCTGATGCTCCATTTTCCGTACCAAGTCGGCGACGGAACGAGGAAACTTTTGGAATTCCACTCCATTGAACCATTCAAGGGGATTGAATAGACCTCTGATAGTTTGGCAACTCTGGCAGTCCAGGCGAACCTGTCCGTTTTTTGTTGCAGAATCACGTCAAAAACTCGTATCTCTTCATTATTTTCTATTTCCACCGTCGCTGGATTATGAGAGGCGAGAAAAATTGAGGCCCACTCCGGCAAAACAGCATGCTTTATTAGGTCAAAACTAGGAAACATAATTATTTGTATGATGTTCAGCGTGCGTTATGTGGCCCGCGAGCTCGCACCCTACATGTTATGCGGCCCCCATGACCCAAAACTTTGGGCACCCCTGATCTATATTTTAGGCTGTGGTGGGGGACTATCGATGTGCAACCCCCCGAATATCCTCTGATCGCCCTCGCATTGGACTCCCTCCCACTGTGACTAATGCTGCTCATCGAGAAAAGGTCCGTCAGCAGTTCGAGAGGAAGGTCGGCCAAGAGGTGGGAATTTCGCATGAGTCGGTGCGGAGGATTGTCAAGAACTTGGACATGAGGCTTACAAGCAGCAAAAGTCGAAGACAGCTGCTTGCACCGTTCAAGATTCAAGATAGTGATATCAAGAGGCGATTTCGCCCATTTCGATATCACGTGTCGAGGTCGAGCGCTCCTTAATTTCAGGGTAGGCCTATGCCATAAGGAGTACAAGGGGGATGAACAACAATCCAAATCCTCAGCAATTCGCTTCAGCATATAAGGGGCTACTGGTGAAGCCTGAGTGAGGTCGCCCCTCCTTAACCTTCGTTCGAGCGAGTACAGTCCCAAAACTTCTAAACGCTTTTCTTATGATAGTCCCCTGTAGCCCTCCTCTGTACTCTCTCGAGCGCCAACAAATCGCCCTTATTTGTAGGCCTCCAATAGTGGATGCAATATTCCAACGGGGGTCTCATCAGCGCCGCATGCAACTGAAGAATAACGCGAGATGCCCTACTTGCAACCGACCGACGGATGTAACCTAGAATCCTGCTGCATTTGGCCATCGTCGCTTGCGCGTGCAAGGAAAGCTTGAGGTCCTCGTCGATAAAAACTGTTAAATCTCTGGTTGTACTGCTTACAGTACATGTCAAAGGATGGACCACCCGTTACGGTTCCATGTTGCGTCCGCGGAATAAATCCTACAATTCCTCTTTCCCACAAGTCGAGAAAGTGATAGGATTGTTTTCACGAAAATTCTCCGTCTAGATCTCCTCTGTGGATCTCCTCTCCCTTTTAGTTCCAAAAGAGTTCTCAATAGGAATATGAACTTGTTTATGGCCTGGACTCTATGAAAATATATCTTGAATATGTGGATGAAAAATTAAGGGATGTCCATGTTTATTGATTCCTATAATGAGACTAGGCGAGACACATGGAAAAGAGGGAAGGGGAATTTTTTGTTATGTGCGAAAAGCGAGACCTTACCTCCATCTAGTGGCCTGGCGAAGAACTTCAAGGTGTTCACGTCAATAGGAACGATGAGGGAGCATTTGGTGAGTAATAAGAGAGTACATATGAAAAGCTCACAGTGTGCTCACTCTTTACTCCCTAAACGCTTGTAATTTTCTAGGAGTGTACCGTTGTTTCGACTGACATGGAAAACTTTACATTTACATTTATTTAACCTCATGAGCCATTTCTTGCTCCACTCTTCCAAAAGACTTAAATCTCGCTCGGCTCTAGCTCTATCCTCCTCCCCCCTTATGGTAAAACCTATATTGGTGCCGTCGGCCAAATCGTTTATGTAGACCAAAAACAGAAGCGGTCCAAGGACCGAGCCTTGAGGTACACCGCTTGCGACTCCGACCTCCTTCCACTCCTCCCCAGTTACCATCACTTGTTGCTCTCTTCCTATCCTCGACCTCCCGTCTCGCAGATCTAATTTCCCACTTCAACTTCCGCGTGATCCTCCTATATTACTCATAGTCCGTGCTATCTCCCGTGCGCTTGTACGCATCCCATTTCCGCTTTTTATCCCAGATGGGAGCTTTGATTTTACCCGTAAACCAGACCGGTTGCCTCCCTGATTTTATGGATTTCTTGGGGATGCATTCCTCCATGAAGCCCTGCAATAACGTCTTGAACCCCGCCCACTGCTCCTCTACCGTCAGCCCCCGGAGCCGCGACTCCCAGTCGATGCCTGAAACGCATTCACGTAGTCTCTCAAAATTAGCCTTCTTATAGTTGTACGAAACCTTCCTCGGTTTGGCCATACTCTTCGTCCGCTTGATATTCCACGTGATCGCGCAGTGTTCCGAATCTCCCATCTCCTGTACCTTAACGTCTCGTGCCAGATTGTCGTTCGTCGCAAAAACTATTTATATTTCATCATGGACGTTCGGCGATGACCGCAGTGGTAAAGAACCATAACAGGTGCCAAAATGAGTATAAGCTACTTATTGTGAAAAATTGTAAGATGAGTTTCGTAGGAATTCAAAGTTGAATATGGAAAATGTTAATTGTTGATGGTTTCATAATCACTCCCAGTAAATCAGGTGGAGCCTTGTGAAAGGCCTTCACAATTTGCAAGTAAAAGAGGGTTTCCACAAAGGAAATGAGCATGGACAAGCTCATATTGACTATACAAAGAACAAGATGAAATGAACATTGCATGTAGTGCAATGGTAGTAGACGTATAGTAGTAGACGAATAGTAGTAGTAGACATGTAGTGCATCAACAGCAAATGCTGCTATTGTAAATATTATTAGAAGTGCCTACATCTGTCCCAGTTCACTCGCTGCACTGCTACAGGGAATTTCTTCAGAAGTATTGATAGGTGCATCCTGCCAGTTCCTCCAAAGCCAATAAAAGAAATTGCTTTTAAAAAAATTTAAAAGGCTTTCCGACATCTTGAATTCCAGGATTCCCTTTGCCATGAGCAATAAAGCTCCCCTTCCAAAACAAAATGAACACATCTGGAAACCTATCTTAAAGAAAATGAAGATATACCTCCTGGAATTAAGAGGCCCCAGAACAGAGCAATATCTGAATCAAACTCCATGGAAAGCTCTAGTCATGGGCTTCATTATTGACATAAAGAGTATTCAGCTGCTTTTTAAGAAGCTTGTCATGTCATCATCACCATCTTTGAAGTTCAGACACTCTGATCATATATGTAGTATTCAATGCGATTAACTCTCCTGTTACTGATTCTTCAACTTTTTTATTGTAGATATCTTCAGACATACGAAGTCTTGCAAGACCATCTTGAGATTCTGTCCTGTGCCATAAGGAGTACAAGGGGGATGAACAACAATCCAAATCCTCAGCAATTCGCTTCAGCATATAAGGGGCTACTGGTGAAGCATGAGATAATGAACAAAGAACTTGCAATTCGCATTTCAATTGATGAAAAATCCATCATTTTCTCCTCCAGCAGGTAATCTACAGAAATGAGAATAATTGAAGACATATTTGCAACATGCAGAAATAATTATGCAGTGAAAGGCATTGACTATGAATATGAACTCCATAATACCTTGTTTTCTTTAAGAAAAAAAGGATACCACTGCATATGAAGGTTAAATGAGAAGAGATCCCGATGCGAATATTATTACAGCATAAAAAAAACTGCAATACTGCATCGAACTAAAGCAATCAAAGTTGATCAAACAATTAGGGCCTGAAAAACTGAATTCAATAAAATATAAATAATTTCAAAGTTAGGTCAAGATCAATAAGATATTCGGTGCTAATACGTTTATTTACTTTTTCACATTGCAGGAACAAACCAGAAACTGGAAACGACCGAGTCTTGGCGTGTAAATTGCTGAGATGTCATCCAGGAGCATGAAAGCCACCAATTTATTCCATCTCCCATGAAACGTACAAAAATATGTGCAAGATGTTTTTTAATCAAAGGTCCTGTCGTAAGACCAGTGGCGATACATATCCACTGTAAGATCTGCAAGCAAGACTTTCATGATAATCAAGATGAAAGCAGGGACCTAGTCCGGAGGAAGAACCGATGTGGACTTCATCATCTCGGTCCAAGGGTGCGGAACATCTGTCAATCTGGGAACGATCTCTCAGGGAAATGGCGAATGGCACGAAGCTGGTTCCCTCCTCTTCCCAATCACCTATCATAGACCTGCAGGGGAAGGTTTTAAGAGAACTGGATGCATCATTCATTATCCCATCTTTGCATGCTGACTTCTTAGATTCATCACCTGATATTGGCCATATTCATCAAATAGTAAAATTAGTAGTGTCCTCATTATTGAAGGTGCGCCTTCAGCATTTAGCAAAGAGGAGGAATGCTTTTTCAACTTGGAGTAAAGTGATGCAGATGTTCTTTAAAGTAGTTTACTTCAAGCACGAGTTGATTTAATGCTCTGTGATTAAGTGCCTCACAATCAGACGGATGCGATTAGCTTGAAGAGCTAGACATTCTATTCTAGTTGCTCTGCCACAAGTCAAGAAATTATATATTTCGTTTACATTGTTGCCTCTTCCTGTGGCAATATGTAATGATCTAACTTGCGCATTAATTGCATAATGTAGAATGGATATCCGGGCTCTTTTATGGCAAATTCATTCTCGGGGATATTTGCGTTGCAATCCATGCACCAAATTCCAACAGTTTGCAGATCCATTAGTATCTGAAAATTTACTAATTGTGTACCTGGAATTAGGGAAATTTTAAATTCATCAATATTTTCTAATAAAGTACCGCATAGATCGTTGTATGTCTTCAAATGGTTCACATCCTTTCCATTCTTCATTCAATCCCTTTTTCAATGCGTCTCTTGAAGTATCCCATCACTCCCTCACCTATCCATGCATTTTGCATTTTTTCTAAAATTGACTGAGCATGGGTATCATTTCACCAAATACTCATTGTTCTAGGTAATCCAACCTTGTCGCATATACGAGTGGCGTTCAAAAATTTCCAGCCTACGGGGTAAGACGAAGCCTGAAGTACATGAATGTTATTTCATTTTTCGACATGATCTCCTGGAACGGGAATGCATTTTTTCAAGCGCGATTCTAGCTTCATGAGTCAATAAAATATAAAATTATTATTCTTGGTCTTCAACCCAACTGTCAACGACCATCATGACGTCATCATATATACTGAATGTATTTCCAGGCAATTTTCTTCCGAAAGTGGGAAAAGGCAATAATCAAAGGGATCCAGATCATGCGAATAAGGAGGTAGGGGAATCAATTCAAAGCAACATTGGCGGAAAGCAGCGTTTCCAACCCTGAGAGGCATGAGCTGGTGGTTTGTCCTGGAGAACTAGCACACACCGGCGAAGTTTCCCTCGACGCTTCTTCTTGATTGCTTCTCTCAGCTTCAAAGGTAGATTGGCGCAATAGTCACCCGTTATTGTCGTTCCATGTTCCAGGAAGTCTCTTAGAATAACCCTTTGCATCCTAGAAGACACAAGCCTAGATGCCTAAACACATAGAGGACAAAAGGACTAGAGACATTGCCTAACGAGGTGATGGCCTTGAATTTTTATTGAGTGGTTAATCTGGGTTTCTCTGCTAAAAACTTCGGTATTCAGTGTTGCAAGGTCGTAGTAAGGTCGTAACGGTCATGCGCAGTCTGCACACACCATGGCCTCCATACAGTCAACATTTTCATCAGAGAGTGAAGTTGTTAGTCTGCCTGACTGTGACTCTAACTGTGATCTGTGCTCTGGCTGCCCTGTTTGCAGCAACTGAAATTTTCCCTATGCCATTGGAGATTGCATTGTCCCCTAAAAAAGTCACAATCGCAGTGTGGATTTCCCTTGCAGTTAAGTTTTTCAAATGAAAGAATTTAATCACTGCACAAAGCTCAATTTTTCCATTTTTCAAAAAACCATGAGAGCGACGACAATTTCAAGTCCTGTTGAAAAAGGAAAATACTAACTGGGTTATCGGACATGCTAGTTTTCCCCTTGAAATTGAATCTAGAGTCTAGGGGAAAAGCAACATTGTGCTAACTATTTATCTTCCCTCTCAGGCCGGAAACTTTTTGAACGCCCCTCGTAACCTGGAAGCAACATGGATTCCATGTTGATTCAACGTCGGGATGTTGAATCAACACTGAAGTAATATTGGTTCAATGTTATGTGCTACTAGGACATCAATGCATATATATTCGCTCAAGAAAGTAACACCCTCGGCATTTGAGTATCGTTCTTGCTCCATTTGTTCACATCATCCTTCAACACTTACCCATGTCTGGAGTCTTTCTGATTGCCTAAGCATCATTATATCTGTTCACCAAGCCTGTTGGATAATCATATAAGGTATCTTGATTGCAGTATCTGGTCGAGAATAAGTGCGTCCCATAATAATGATTGTATTGGGCCAAAAGAGAGATGCTGACACACGCCAAATATTTATGTATGAAGAGACACGGTTAACCAAACCTACCCCAACCTTAGCCTAAACTAACCTGATCTAATTTTAAAATGTCTCAAATTCAAAGAAAAATTACATGCTGTAGCTTATCCACGCACCCTATCAAAAAGCGTGATGTAAAAATTTAAAGTTGGTTTTAGAGTCTAAATTGGGGAAACTATTTCACCTTTTTGCTCTAATGTTAACATCTTTACAAACTTCAATGCCCCTCTCAACTCGCAATTTGAGTGAATATGGACGCGCTTTTATTCATAATTGCTACATCATGTCTCTTGCAGATATCTAGCTCCAGTATGAATAAACGATGCCTTTTAAATTCCACTGTTGCAATACGGAACATGTTGCTATGGACAATTTTACCGAGAATCACCTGCATTCTGTAGTCCACGCTCCCAAAGCTCACTTTCTCACGGAACAGGATATGTCCTCGTTTACTACTACAGGCCCCATCACGTGCAACGTTTCCCATTCAAGATACTCAATGCGACGCATATACCCCTCGACACTTCTTTCCTGGAGCGACAATTTCAATTTCAGATCGAAGACAACACAACCATCGATAATTACAGCAAATGAGCTATAGAACACCCCTGTGGCATCCTTATGCATCCCTCGTAGGACAGATGATATTCCATAGATTTCCTGATGAAATGTCCCTCGGATGTTCAAATCCCTTGAACACTTAGAGAACATGCGATTCGGTGAGGAATGTGGACGTCTAAAGTGCCAAACCCCTAGTACATCCATAGGTAAGGAAGGAAAATGCCCAGGATAATTTTATTTCCGTCCCACTTGCATTTAATGACACACCAATGTAGCCAATTTTCGAGGAAGAATGACATAATGGGATGTCAACATACATATAGACAATCGTGACTAGCACTCATACCAGTCAGGCACTAACATGCGATGTAAGCGGACCCCAGCGGAAAGTCCGCGAAATGTAGCGATGTAATGTAGCGATTTGCAGATATTAATACAGAAAGAGGTTTAGGGCCGGGAATGAACCCGGGGTTTCGTATTCAAAAGTTCATGGAAATCTTCCACGCGTCGGCTAGTTACTATTATTACGTTTTACTATGAGTGGCCTATCCTGTTTTGTCTAAGAGGATATAAGGTCATCTGCCTTTCCTGGATATGTAGAAAAGGTTCAAAAATAAAAAATAGCCATGTATGTTTACTTTGGCCTCAGATAATCAAGAGATAAGGAATGAACTGCAGTTGACAATATCCCATGCATTCCGAAATGTTTTTTTTTAGAATGGAGATTTGTTGCGATTTTACTTTTTTCTTGGGAAAAAATGGAAACTTTCAGACTTTGCTTGGTGGAGGTACAGATACGACTGAGAAGGGAGCCCAAGACAGACAAAACAATGGGACCTCAAGCGCACATCACCTGCCTTTTGCTTTTAGGTCTCTTCCATTGGTCATCGGAGCAAGGCGACTGCAACCGTACTTTCACCGGATGGGGAACATTCTCCTCCCCAAATTACCCCAATAATTACTACGACGATTATTTCTGCTGGTACGATATTAGGGCGCCGACAGATGGTTGGGTTTACCTGGAATTCCTGGAATTCGACCTTGAATGGAGTTACGCCTGCGAGGACGATAGCCTTGAGATGGTAGGTCATGGTGATCACTGGACAGATATCAAGTGCGGAGCCTTCCAACCTTTCGAAACCCAATGGGATGCCATTCATATTTTTCTCAAATTCAAGACTAACAACTTAATCACGCGCAGGTAAGGTTCTGCTACGTAGAGGTAAGATTGTGGAGAAGGGTTAAACCTTCCTGGTGTTTACGGTCCTGAAAAAACCTCAAAAAGCTCGTGATCATTCCCTGGCTTGTGACTTCAGAGGGTTCTCTGTCACATACGTGACCGTCGTCCCCGAATGCGAGGAAGGCTGGGAGGAATTCCAATATGGATGTTACTACTTCACAAACGAGCGGAAGACTGCACTGGAAGCACTGATGGAATGCGAGGACGTCGGCGCTAATCTCGCCAGCATTCACGACGACGCGGAATACATCTTCATCAGTGAGTAAACACCGCTTTCAGTGATTCGGGGCTTGCATGACTGCCATTTAGCAGCAATGCAAACCCCGAATCACGTTAAGATATTAAGCAGTTAGGGAAATTCATTAAACGTATTACTTCCATGGACGTGTTGGCTATTGCTTTAGGTCGAGGCGCCTCTATTTCATTATGATGTGGTTTGAGGTAATTTTATTTTGGGCATTTTTGGGGCAACACTTCCACATCATAATTTCTGGAAGTTCTCTATAATGGAAGGAAAATTGAGTTTCAATGAGCCATACATATGAAGGTAGTATCATGCACCTAATGTTCATGTATTAATGTTAGCGTTTCTCGTAACGACGAGGAATTATTTGATCTGGACAAAATCTTATAACCAATTAAAAAGAGTTCGTCCATCAAGTAGGAAATGACGCCATCTGTCTTCATTTTGAATAGTTTCCTTTAGCGACTGTTCATATTTCCATTTATGATGTGTAGATGTTTCTACTGATGAAAAATAAGGATTGTGTCACGTGTTGTTCAAAATATTGAAATACTTTGGAATAATTAAATCATACTATGCCAAACTTTTCAGCTAGTATCTCCTAATTTGCTTTCTTTCTGATAAATAAAAAAGTTACTGTATCTGCTGAGTGGTCGAGCATTTTTCCAATGCAAATATTGCGTTCCAAGGGGATTTCTACGTTTCGCCTATGTGCACTTTTGACACGCTTCAGTGTTCCATTGAGTGCATGTGGTTCTAGGGAACGAAAGAACAATCACCTCGTTAAAACAGTTTTTTACTGGGATTCAGGTGCACATGCTCCATCGTCGCCCTTTTGGATCGGCCTCAAAACTCAAGGCTCGCTACATGAGTGGATTGACGGGACATCCTACGAGTACGAGGTTCCCAACCTCAACTTCTTCGACGACGGATTCACTTACACGTGGACAGATAAGTGGGTGAACGAGAACTGTACCAGCAATGAACCGGTTTCTCATAGCAGAAGTCTTGGGGAAAACTGCGCCTACGCTACCTTTGATGCAAGGGGAGACCTTCACAGCAACGAGCGCTTTCCATTCGTCTGCAAGAAGGACCGTCTGAAATCTATTTTAAGAGGGAATTAAGATCGGAGATGGTTTGCCTATAGCCGGCGTCTCTGAAGCCTCCTTGGAAGTTCCATTAAAAGTGATAAGCAGACGGACTTGTTGCATCATTCCTTTACAAAAAAACTGTATGGATTTATTTCTCATACCGACGGGACTTTCACCTACTGTACATACGTTATTCATATTTACGCGATCCATCCTCCTTTCATCTTATGTCTAGCCTATGGCCTAGAATGGCATAGTATTGGAAGCTACCGCTTTCGGCCTTATGGTCTAGCCTATGGCTCAGAATGGCATAGCTGCGTAGGCTACGCGCGTTAGCAGTGCCAACCACCACAATTTTCGGCCTCTTCTAATTCAAATACGTATTACCTTAAATGGGAAGATCGTGCATTCGACTTTCGAGATGTTTTCCTCTTGGTGGCACTCGACGGAATAATTAATTTATTTTACTTTACCAAATTTTCAAGCCTTTCGCTGCCTCTCGCAAGGATTTATCCTCTTAACTCTTTTCCTGATTCCTTTGCCCTACGCTTTATGGCTTGACTGATGGGAGTACCCTTTGAGACGTCACGAAATATTTTCGCACTGGTATCTAATGCCTTCTTTCCGAGATATTTCACCCCTTCCTTGACGAGTGGGAAGGTAAACCGAGTAACACTCGCCAACACGTTCCCAAACCCGTGTCCCCCTGATAAAGCTGTCCACTGTACACAACCAAACCTCCTCTTACTTGATCGTACTTGATCCACTTTCCGTACGGGCACATAGAGCGAAGTAAACAATGGAGAACGAGAAGGGCAAATATGAAGTTTCACCATCGACTACCCCTGCTGAAATGGAAAGTGGTCTCCCGACTTCGATCGTACGAATATATTTTTTTCGATAGGTAAGATAATGAGGATTCTCGTATGTCATCTCGATCGTTTCACTTGTTTTTTTTAACCGTTCTCGAAAGCGGTACCTTCACGGGGCAACGTACAGCGCTTCGATGATGTTGCAATAAGCAAATATAGCTTTCAAAGGTTCTGCATCGGCCACAAAATCCCCCATTATTTTCGGAAAAAAATATTCATTGGACTCGCTATGGCGCGGATGACGAACCCATGCCGAGCGGTGATGTCGAGGGAGGAAAACCTAAGAGGTGACTAAGTACTGGAGAAAGTTCAGCATGACTTTGTCGCATAGAATTTGCATGACAGTACGACGTATTGTAATAAGTTCTCGCTTGTCCCCTCAAGTAGTTGTGCGGTACGACTTGTATCACGTCTTCCACCTTCGAGTAATAGCCGTGCAGAATTTCGTACATTATAATTTTCTGTCTGTATTAATTGAGATAAAGTACACGTTGACGGTTACATTTTCCCAAGAATTGGGGGGCATGCGATCTCCACCAGTCCAGATGAAAAACACTCCTAAACACACTCACACACGGATAGGAGGGACCTCGTATGAAGCGAAAAATATCCGTCACCGAGAACATACACCCCTTTCATTTACATACTTGAACCATCCCGCCTCGAGGGATGAGGAAGCAGGCGTCATAACTGGGGAGGAGGCAACACCATGGCCTCACACTTCTGAATGGTGGCCCGCTTACCTCTTTCCACGAAAACAACGGTCTTGTCCCCGTGCGGCGTCGGCATCCCTTTGGGCGCCATACCACATATCTCTCTTACGTGATTCATTTCCATAATGATTATAGGCGGGCGGGAAATTGGCTAATTGTTTAAGGTATTACTGTAACCAATGTGGTTTGCCGTCATAAGTTTCCTCAGAAGTCAATACTGATTCCATCGTGCCTTCATTCGATTTATTTCTTGTATTTATTATTGTCTTCTCTTAGCCATCATTAATCAAACTTGAAACATGCTACCTTTTGTCATAAAGTTGGCATCTATAGGAAATTCATTGCTTGTCTCTCTCAACCCACGTAATGAGTAAATGCACAAAAGGGACGCATACTTTCCCCGGTTTGTTCGTTAAATTCAGCATCGTACTATTTGTCATGATGTCTGCCATCAGTATGATGGAACGTGATTTTCCATTTTCTGAAAACTGAAACTTCTTTAATGGGTACTTTCCTCAAATTTATTTCACATTTTTCAGCCTGCGAAGGTCATGTGTAGATTGGAACACGTACCAACGGCTCATTTTCCCACCGAGCAGGATATTTCCCTTTTTACTCTTCTTGGCCCTGCCACATGTTGGGTTTCTCACCCGGGGAAACACTGACTCGATGCGACGCATTTACCTTTCGACGCGTCTGTCCCAAAGCGGCAATTTGAAAGTCCAGATGTAAGACGACTCAACCTACGATCATTCCAGTCAAACTCGTCCTCGCTGCGTGTGCAGTTCTTCTGCAATCCCGAGGAGTGCTTGACTCGCGCGTGCAATGCTTACGAGCTCCTGGAATGGAGAGAGGAACCGAGGACAGTGCGCGCCATCGAAATATTAGGTAATTCGATAACACCTTCACGAGAATTGTACTCGATGATGCGACGAAAGAAGCGAAGGCAAGCAAGACAAGGGCATGAATCACAATCTATGGGGTCTGACGCAAATATTGTCAAGTGAATTCTAATCTTGAGAAAGAGAAACCGTGATACGAATGAACGTGGATCTTTTGAAAACTTGAGAAGTGTCTATACGTTACACTTTGTTGAAGCGAAATGGAAGCATCAACAGAAAAGGGAAGACTTTATTTTTTCCGGTTTAGTCTTCCAAAGGTTGTTTCGATTGCGGTCCACGTTTATCCTTCACGGTTGCACATTTTTCCCTTTTTAAATGGTTAGTTTAATGATTAGTTCATGAGGGTGAATACAAATTTTACCTGGATTAATACGTAACTCTTTCCTCAATGCCTAGAGGAATATGAAAGGGGGCTTGCTTTATTCTGGAAGGATGTCTATGCTTGGCCATAAATTGAAATTTTGGAGCACTGGATATCCTGCCCGTCCCTGTAAAGCAAACTGTCAAGGACACACATTCTGACGCAGCGACTTAGGATGTGATGAAGCCCTAAATCGTCCAAAAAAGCACATGTCTACAAACTAGTATCACTTCCCGATGTGTATGGTAGTCCTGCATGTAAGCTTCTCAGAAACATGCATTTCACTTACGGCATTATGTCTAGGGCAAATTAGTACGTTCATATGTAAATCTGTTTCTATTAAGGGAAGTTTTGGCAGCGGGATTTAACTTTTCTCTTTCTCATGAGAACAATCAGTGTTGCGAACTATATTTGACAATGTTGGCGTTAGAATCCAATTCAAAGGAGTAAACCATAACCATGGTATTTACATTACATTCTATTTACAACTATTTCATACTGTCGTGAGATCAGATCGCTATACATTTGCTTCATCTTGAGTGATGGAAAAATTGCAGTAATTGCGAAATTTCTCTTAGTGAAAATCAGAAGTCAGTAGAATAGTGGAAGTCGACTTAGGTTTTTTTTCCATTGAGATCTACACTCATTTTAAGTGTCCTCCCAGCAATGCAACAATGACATTTTTCAATATCTCTGTTATGTATGCCTCTGAGCGCTGTAATCACAGAGCGTTTGAAATCATTAATGCTCTGTTGATTCATGGAGGACATATTATCCAAGTCCCATAGGAAAAAATATGACGCTTTAAAATCAGGAGAGATTGCTGGCCATAAGATATCCCTCTCATGTTTATAACGTTTTCTCTTCAAACGTATCAACGGCTATCTCAATCGATGGATAAAATGGGGGGTTTCTCTAGGAAGAAATAAAAAGCGTAGCAAAGGATATTCATAAGTCATTATGCATAAATCCATTGGAATGCATTCTTGTGCTACTTTGAAGAGAAAATTCAGACCATCCAATAAAAACCTGATGAAACACTCCCATCGAAGCCAATGATGAAGAAGATCATAGATGAGTCTGAAAGTCTGTGTTTGGAAAGTCCTGAGCTGAGCTGCTTCATTTCTCCAGGACTGGGAATTATCTAGGAACATGTAACATGTTTTCTTGTTCCTGCTCGAAACTCAGGCGCATAGTTTAGTGGGATTGTTTCATAATAGCTTAGTAAACTTGCTTCCAAAAAAAGTTTCTTTTTACGGTTGTCTCATGTTATAAGCTACCCTTTCTGGCCTGGCATTCTAATAGGACTGATGTCATCAGGATTTCCACATCGTTTACATTCCAATATCAGGTTTAGGCCACAAGTTTTATATGAATCACCTGATAATGCAAAGTAATGCAAACAATCCAAGTAGAGATACCAACGGAATTGCCTACATTTTCGCCTGCAAACTGGCTTAGATTCAAAAGCCTGCAGAATAAGATCGCAAATGACCAGTCAAGCTGCATCACGTGCGATACTATTTTGAGTACGATTACAGCTTTATCGAACATAATTCTGCAATAGAATCAGATGGGAGATGCAGTGCTTCTCCAATCCCAAGGTGGCAGCCGGGAGTACCGTCCGTGCCTCCCTCGCAGCACAGGATGTGCCCCTCCAGTCTATATACGCTCTATGATCTACACATACCTGTACTATTCTGCGCATATTTCCAGGTGCACGCTCCAACATTTCAATGGGAATCCCGACCACGACGTCCGTGATGTTCTCCATCAACTCTTCAACTGAATTGAGATTGTTTTGGGAGGCTCGCTCCTTCACATATCCATATAATAAATAATCCGATAATGTAAGATTTGAGGACATGAGTGGCCAAAGCCCCTTTGAGATCACGTGTTCCTTGAACACAGCTCGTAAAAATCGCATGCCGTTTCATGCTCTGTTCAAGTCTGTATCAGATGCCGTCACAATTCCATCCGCTAAACCAGATCTCCCAGATTGCAGACTTAGTTGGCACCACACGAATGTTGAACTTCTTTCGAAATACCTCTTGAGACAGATATAAGATTTCCTACGTGCTACCATGGTCAGCAGGCAGTTCAGATACCTTGCCGATCGGAAATATCCAAGAGCATTTCGTCTGGGTTAGTCTGACATCATAAATCGATGCATCCTTGCAAGAACTGTGGGACGCCATCACTTCAAACCAATGGACCCACCTGGTCTCTAGTATGCTTGATGGATTGGAAG